CTGAGAAGGAGCGCGATGGCGATGGATACCGAGGCACTGGGATCACTTAGGGGGTGCGCACGAAACCTACGCTTTGCTACGCCTGCTACGCCTGCTACGCCTACGCCTACGGAGGCGAGGCTGAGCTGGTGGCGCAGCTCCTCGGGTACTTGGACGCAGGGAACACGGGCAAAGTAGCTCTCGGATCTCTGAGACTCTGAGGCTGGGCTTCTCCTCGGATCGGGCACGGGCGGCCGCAGAGCGCTGCTCCACGGCACGCGGCTCTGCAAGTCTTCTGCCTCTTCCGAAAGAAAAGACAGGCCAGTCAGCTGCGAAAGCTCAGGATCAGGAAGTGACACAAAGGACGAACTAGCGAGCAAAGCCTCAACTGAGGTCGAAGCGGCCGTGGCCTGGCTGACGGATTGCCGGGAGTGACTGCAACAAACGGCAGCATTCCACGTGCACTGTACATAAGCGACTTATCGCACTCCGAATGGTGTGCCCACCGTGCCACCGCCGCGATCCTTTAGCTTTGAGTCAAATGCTTTGAGGCGCTAGATCTTGAGTCGCACCATCCCATGTCGAAGTTCATGAACTGAACCCATCTGCCTGATCAGAAGAGAAGGAGACTGCACGGTTCAACTCCAGAAGTCTCAAGAGCCTGATCCAGAGTTCGAGACGCGGAAAGTCGTTGTTATCCTCCATGCCGGCATTGAATCCGAAGAACCAGGATTTCCTAGCACTTCAACTTCTTGCCGAGATGACTTTTAGGTTGTCCCTGCCCAAATTAAGTCTTTTCGCAGGCCTTGAATCCTCACGTCCAAGCCCTCGCGTGCCAAATTTCCAGCTACTGTCCTTTTTCGCATTGCCTTTCACTCGCTGCACCCCAGCTGCAAGCAGGTGGGCACTCATGAACTAGGGAAGGGGGGGCAGCTTAAAGATGGGTTGCCCGCAGACTCCTCGTGCGGCAAAAAGACAACGCTGTCGCCAAATGCTGCCACCGATCACTCCCACTCAGCCATCGTCCCACTAACCCTTGAATAGAAAGCAGCCTGCGCGTCTCGTTTTGGCTCAGAGTCGAGAGTCGAGCCGTCCGGGCAGAGCCAGAGCCGTCCCGGGGGAGATCCGAAGGCGAGCCTAGGTCTCGGTCCACGTCGCAGATGCCAGAGGTGGAGGAGAAGCCAAAGAAAGAGCCGCGCGAGGTTCGCCACGAAGCCGCGAGTTGCTTTCGTCCTGACCAGCTTTGCCAGGAAATCACCCGCCACAGAATGATCATCTGCGATCAGAGGGTACCTGGTGCCTTCAAAGACGACCTACTCTTAGCAACGCTTGACCTTGTCAATATGGCCTCATGTTCTCACAACCGATGCTTCGTTCGTACAGGCCCAGAAGAAGATGGATTTCTGGCAGCAGGTAGTGGGCTCTGACAAGAAGAAGTGAATCGCGGCAGTCCCGGCACAGAGGTCTTCCGGACGAGCGTCATGCAGCATATCATGCACCTTGAGCAAAAGCGCAATCTGCAAGCATGCTGTCTTCTTGGATGTGGCAAACGTGCTGTGGACTTGCATGTGGGATGAAGCCGTCTGGGCTCTGGGTTACAGTCGACGTGCTGTCCCTATAGCTCCTCGGCAGGCTTGCTGGGAGATAAACGTCGTTTGATGCACGAGATTTGTCTTGGGCCTTCGCAGGCGCGCGCTTTTTCGGCCATGCCGGGTCCTCAATTAATAGATTGATCAGCTTAATAGTCTCTCAGGACCTAAGGCAAGAGGGCATATGTCGAGATGTCGCAGGCGGTGGCTCTTCCTCGCGGCGTGCGCCGCCCATCATCCTTCCGCACTGCTCGGGTCTTATCGGAAGTTGGACACTACCGAGGCTGCCGCTGTGCCACGCCTTCTTGGCTCCCAGCATACAAGGCCCTTCCTGAAAGCTCAGCCTCAACGAAAACGGCAATCTCTGTGAGGCCTGGACGGGCTCCGTTCCAGGAGCTGTCGTGGAGCCATACGCGAGGCCAAGACGCCAAAGTGGCCTCTGTGGCCTGGGGCCTGCTTTCGGCCTGTTTGCCCTTCGAGGTGCCCAAAGCAGCTCGTTTAAACGCCGCTCCCTCACAGGCTGGCGGCGGGCCGGCGGGCCCAAAGCCTCTCCAAAAGCCTTCTCATTGAATCTCACGACAGGCTTTCTGGGGCGTCACAGGTGCGGCGGCCGTAGGCGTCCCAGGACTTCCGGAGAGGCGGACTGCGCTCCCGGGCAGCTCTGAGGCTGTCTTGGCGAGCCTCGCGCGCTCGCGCCGTTCCTCGGCGGCAATGCAGCAGTGCGACAGGGCATAGCGACGCTCCTTAAGGAACCTGCTTGGCGGCAACGCAGATGAAACAGAGCAAAGTGTCAAGGCCTGCTCGGCCCGCTCGGAAAGCTTTCAGTCATTGCCAAGTCCGGACGGTCTCTCAGGTTGAAGGGTGGTGCAGCCTCGATCTCAGCTTCGCGGCGCTTGCCGTTTCCCTTCCGTGGTGTGTTACAGCGCTGAGATGTTGACGGTCCGGAAGTCCAAGAACAACGCTCATGTTGCCCTGTGTGACAAGAAGGGCGAGGCCAATCCTCAAGAGCTGCTGTGACCCACTGTGGCCAGCCTGTGTGATTCCGACTCTTAGATTGTCTGGTGCACCACCGAGAAGCGCTACGGCTCCCTGGCATTTGAGCTTCAATCTGTGACAGAGCCTCCGCCTTCCTGACCGTGCCAGGCCCACTCCTCCCGAACGCCAACAGGGCTATCGAGGCACGAATGGCTCAAACTCCCATCCACACGAACGAGCGCCCACGCGCACTCTCGAGGCGGCGCTCTTCGTGGCGGACAAGCTGGGCGTGGAGTCCATCGTGCTGCAAGTGAAGGGCTCGCCGCCGCCTCGGCGACAAGCGGAGAACGCAGAGGACGCCTTCGGCTTGCCTTACCAGCTTTCGCTCCCCCGTCGAGGCCTGGAGCTTTGGGCGGCATCATCGCCACCATCCGTTCTTCCGGCATCAATGCCGCTCCAAATGACAGAGATGACAGAGAGTCCTGAGAGAGGTTGAGAGTTTTGAGGGAGAGTATAGAGTACAGAGTAGAGAACGACGGCACATGCTTCCTGCTGAAGGTAACGCAAGCCTATGTCCGAAACACCATCCAATACGGAGGCCGAGAACAAGGTCTAGGCAAACCTCGATGCACAGTCTCTGCGTGGAGAGGTTGCCGACCGCGTCTTATGCGCCGTGTGTGAGCTTTGGGAATGCGAATCTTTGCGCCCTGTGTCGGGAAGCATCGAGCTGGACGTGCCTAAAAGCAAATGCGTGGCTTTTTTTGTTCCGTGCTCCGTGGCGCAAGCCAGAGTGTGGCTGCAGCATCCGCAGCCATTAGGCCCGGCCCAAGCGCAAGAATGTCAATTAAGAGTACGTATCGGCGAAGATGAGGCTACGAGACAGGCAGGGGGGATGTGCCAGCACGATAGGGCCAAGACCTGGGGGATGGCCCAGCGGGGCCTCGTTTTGCGCTTACGCAATGGACTGGCAGGCACGCGGAGGACCCCTTTTCCAGGCCCGTCCAGTCCGTGATGCTTCTGTGAGGAGAAGGATCTCACGGACTGGGCCAGAGAGTCACTGCAAGAAATCCTGCTGGACGCCCTGAAGGCACCCGGCACCCTCTCTGCTCTGTGATCGATCCCCCCCACCAGAAGGGCAGTGGCAGTCTGGGCATGAAGGATCCTTCTTCGCAGAAAGACGGTCGAGAGTCATCGGCGGTGCGAGCGCCGCGGACGCCCTGGAGCTTCCTCGAGGCGGAGCGGGAGCTGCTTTCGGAAAGACATCACATGTTATTATGTTATGCTTTGTTCGGGCTGGATGCTTTCCGCGAGTGCAGTGACAGGTCCAGGTGCTCCGTGTGGAGGTGAGTGGATTTGCAAGCCTCTGCGGTCGCAAGGGCCAGGCAGGGCCGTCAAAGGTCTGCCAGCTGCTTGACGGGCTTTCAGCTTCTTCGGCTCCATGATAGCAAGTTGCAAAAAGCCTTGCCCTGGGGTTCAGGAAGTCAGCACACAGAGTCACAGAGAGAAGCAGAAGCAGAAACAGCAGGAAGATCAGGAGAGCACCGGTATCAGGCAGATGCACGCGATCGATGTTGCTTGCATCTACTGCCTGATAAGCCGAGCCTCCCAACATGCAAAATGCCAGTCGGAAGAAATGTGTTTTGTGTTGGTGGCTCCCGCTCACATTGCATGCTTCTTGTGCCCGATCGTTAAGAGGTCAGCGTGGATGCTGACCTGGACCTTGGTCTGCAGCTGGAGGTGGTCAAGGCCAGTTGTGGTATCCAGAATCTCTGGCTTGGTTGCACAAGGATTTGAGCTCAAAGGGTTTCTACGCTCCAAACGCCTCACCTCACCAGGCAACTCGCTTCTACGACGTCCTCGGCTCAGGCTCCGTAGAGTCTCAGCGCGCACCCCCCCGAGCTGCACCGAGGCCGTTCCTCAGCGCTGGCCTGCGGTGCTGCGGGTCCCGGGCTTCCAGCCGGGCACGCGGCCCGAGCTGCAGGCAAAGGGCAAACGGGCAAAGGGCATGCGCCGCCGCCGCCGCATTTTCGGAGGTCCATTTCGATGATCCACAGAGCGAGGTGGCCGGCGAGGCGAGAGCGGAGAGCGGAGAGAGCAGTGCGGCAGTGCTTGCGGCGCCTCGCGGCTCTTCGCGGCTCTCGGCGCAGGTCACCTGGTTCCTGCAGGAGGGCCTCGGTGCGAGGCTCTTGCAGCATAAGCTGGCGAGGCGTGAGCTGCGGAGAGCTCCCGCCGAATCACAGAGCGCTGAGCTTTTCAGGTGGGAAGCACTCACCAGGCGGCGCTTCGGCGAGGAGGCGCTGTGTTTTGGCGGGCGGTTTCGGCCGAGCTGTTTCGACGCGAAGATCCTTGGCGCAGGTGGCCGCGAGCAGCGAGGGATCGGCCATCTGGCTGCCGGGGCACCCAGAGACCTAGAATCTAGAAAAAAGGAACCTTAAGGGACGCCCTCTAAAGCTGGAATTCGGGAGTTTGTGGCAGCTGCGACAGCATGAGCAACAGAGCAGCGCGGGGAGGAAAGGAAATCTCCAAGCATTGCAGGTTCATGAGGTCATGCCCAAGCTGTGACGCGGGATGCCGAGTGAAGGTTGTTGCAGTGGCAGGTCTGCAGATGCCATTCTCCGAGCCAGCCAGTGCCCAGCTTTCAATCGCTTGCGGATGGAGAACCTCTCGAGACAGAGGGCGCTCATGTTCAGGAAGCGGGCGAGAAAGCCGCCACTGCAGGCTGTGATGGCCAATGTGCGCTTTTAATTTTTTGAGCTTTGCAGACTTGCAGGACGCAAGCAAAACCACCCGAGCCCGAGCGGCGCCTACGGCCGGGCCGCAGAGGCCGGGGGCTTTTCTCGCGCAGAGCGGGGGCTTTTCTCGCCTCTCTTGGGAGACCTCGGAGACCCGCAGCGGCGGCGAGCCCTGCGCAAAGACTCCACGAGGCACCGCGGCCGCGCTCAGAGTTCGGGCTTCTCTGCTCATTATCTTCAAGAGTAGAAGAGCCCACAAGCGTGTTCTTTCAGGCTGTCCGGTCCAGGAACTATGGCGAGGCTCAGAACGGGTTTTGCGCCTGTGCGACTTCTGCTCGCCTTGGCCTTCGGAGGCTTTTCTTGCTGATCCGAGCCTCCTGAATGCACGCTGTCCCAGCTCGGAAGAAGGCGCCTGAAGCCCTTCTGGCGTTTCGGGCCGGGGGCAGCCCGAATTGGATCAGGGCTCTCGCTCCTGCACTCCGCGGTGCTCAGCAACTCACCAGACATGCTCAGCCTGTGCCTTCTCCAGGCCCAGGTTTCAGAAACTGCAGGGACCAGGCCCCAAAAGCGCCCGGCCCCCACTCTTTCCCCAGGCCCGTGCCGAGTTGGCGCCAAGGGACCTGCAGTGGACTGAAAACGGCCCGTTTTTCATGCCGGTCAAACGCAGCTTCGCCCAGAGACTTGATTCTCAGGCTTGGGCGCACTCCGCTCTTCATGGCTCTCAAGAAGGTGCCCGGTTTTTGGCCTTTTCAGGTCGGGCTGGGGGCCGTGGTGGCGCATCTTCAGGGAAGCTTGGAGATGTCTAAGTGCCTCCTGGAAGTTGTTGGCTCAGACTCTTGAAGCGCAACTCTACAGGATCTTGATCTCTTCCCACTGAGGCTGGTGCTTTCGAGGCTGAAGAGGAGCGCTGGCAGAGTGCAGATCAGGGAAGATTATCTCCACAGCACAGGGATCGCTGGTGGAGAAGCTCAGCCAAGCCACACACCAAGAGCCAGGGCGAAGGAACTTCTTGCGTGGAAACAACGACGCCTGCAGTGCCTGGACCTCCGCAGTGCCCCGGAGCTCTTTGAGCTGGTGGATGCCAAGGAGCCACAGACGGGCACGACCTCGTTACTGGGTTCTTGTTGAGGAATTTCCATTTAAGTCACCAGTTACCATAAATAGGATGGTTTCCTGATTATGGTAATTTTAGACGCTGCTTGAAGCATGTGCATTGTTTCGGAAAGCAGCAACCCGAAAGCCTACCAAGGCCCATCATAGGCCATAAACCCGAGACTCTAAACCCCAAGCCCTAAAGCTTAAACCTCAAACCCGAAACCCTAAATCCGCAGCGTTTAGGGAGAAAGCGCAGCCCCTGATGCAAGCGTGAGGCTCGCATGCCGTGGCATCGGAGAACCGAAAATGGACATTGTAGCCATATAGGCACCAGCTGAGAAAGTCCATTTAGTGAGTCGTGCCGCTTCACTCCGGGCCGGCACCCTCGGGGTCACCGCCGGGGCGCAGGTATGTGGTGCAGTAGCGCAGTATGCCATGCCCGCCCCTGCCTCGCTCCTGGCGGATGGGCGAGCACAACCGCCGATGCCGTCGGAGGAATTTGCAGGGCTCCTTGCCAGCGGTCACTGGCCATGAAAAAGGGCTGGGGAGCTGCACCAGGGTCAAGCGGCATCATCGTCGTATGTGATCGGGTCCTCGGGAATTGGATGCTGGCACACTAAGGTTTACGGTCGAGGGTTTAGGGTTGGGGGGGGTTCTGGGGTTTAGGGCTTAAGAGTTGAGTGTTAAACCAGCACCTGTCAGGAACCGTCGTCACTTGTGTCACTGCTGTTCGCTCTGCCGCTTCCGTCCAGCACAAGGGAAGAGGCTGTGCTTGAGAAAAGGGTTATCCCCGAGAGCTGGTTCTCTGGCTACTTTAGGGCTTCAGGGATGCTCCGGATCATGGTGGCATTCATTGGCGACCTCTCAGACGAGGTCTTTCAGAAGAAGGCCGGGGGCCTTATCTTCAGAAGGGTAGAAAGCCCTTGAGTGTTCAGAGGGTGCAGGTTGGAGTCCTGGGCTACCAGTGTGGGAAATCCACATTCGTAGCGGAGCCCGGCTCCGACACTAGAAGAGTGTTAGCAGAGGGTTCCAGGTTACCTAGTTGTCGACACGTGGTAGCCTCGAAGCTCTTGTCGTGACGCCATGCCTGGGGAAGCCGAACCTGGCGAAAGCGCTAGGCCTGGGACATTTGCCTTGGCAGCAGATACCGCGATTCATGCCGGGAACAACCAACGTAGACGAGTATGCCAAGCGACTGCAGTTCTTGAAGGAGCTGTGGCCGGTGGAGCATTGCTAGGCCCGAGGGCAGCCTTGCAAGTTGAAGGCGCGGCCTTCCAGAAGGTCAGCCGGATTGCAGCGGACAAGTTAAAGGGGAACGATGGTGTGAAGCTGCTCGTGGAATCGCTGGGAGGGTCGTGGGGACGACAATGGCATCGGGAACCGAGGGGATATTAAGAAGCTTTGCAGCAAGATTGACAGCCGCATCAGTGCCATTGAGGCACAATTGATGGAAGGGGCCGGGCATGTAGTTCACGACATGGCCTCTCAATATCGTCTTCCGGCTCTGGATGTACTTGAGATCGCACCTTCGGCTGGCAATATGGTCAGCTACTCTACCGAAAAGTGTGGCGGGCGAGCTTTATGTCTTAAGCGGCGACAGCTCCATAATTCGAAGGGGCCGTTTGGGAGACTGTGGCAAGCCGTTCACATGTACCAGTCCCAACACATTTGGGTAGATGCTCGGCAGCCCTGGATGAGTCAAGGGCATCAGTGCTCAAAGCATTGGTGGTCCTCGCTTCTTTGAGCAAGCGCCGCCCGAATTTTCAGATGTCCAGCAGGGCGTGCTAATGGCAATCCACCATTTGCCAGAACTGGAGCCGACAGCCAGAATTCTTGGAGGCAACAATATTTATCAACGGCGTATCTATGTTTACACTACCTCCAGGACAGTCCACCGTGCCGTCGACACCCGCATACAACGACATACCCGTAAGCAGCAGCCCCGTTCTGGTCTCCACGACAAAGCACCACAACGTCAGATGTCACAGCTCACTCTTGGATCCTGCGCTGCGTCTGCTATGCTGGGTTGTAAGGAGGTTCCTTTGTACTTGGCCGAGTTACTTTTAGGAGAGGGTACCCGGGAACATCCGCACGAAGATTTAGCCGCAGCGCAGCAGGTAGTCAAGCGCCGTCGGATCTGGGGGAAGCAATCTCCGCCAGAGTCGATGAGTGTAGACGGAAGTCAGCGTGAGCCATTGACGTGGGAAAGGGTGTTTCAGACAGTAAATTCACGGGTTCCCCGGGGGGGTGGAATAGGACTTGAGGAAGGAGATGAGATCACCACGATGGTTCAGCAGCTGATTCCTGACGTGCATGTTTGCCAGGTAGTTTTCTGTCGGGGCACCAATCGTGTTCAAATGCCTAAGGGAACATGGTCACACAGGGACATACCGCTTAGGCAGGTGGTTGTGGTTAGGAGGGATAACGGTCAGGTTGAGATGGATGGAGCCGTAGAGGAATGGACCAAGGTGCCCCGGTACAAGCAATGCCGCAAAGGCGTGCCAGCAAGGATCAGTGCGACTGTTTTGGGAGCTCCATTTCGTGATCCTTATGCCCAGCATGAGCCGGCATCAGGTGCATCAGCCGGGCGGGGCGGGCCGGTTTTCAACCCCAACGAGAGGATCTCTCGTTTGGGTCGGGGGGGAGTATGTATGATCATCCAATTTCTGCCGAATGCCGGGATGAATGCGATGTGCAAGCCCAGATGTTGATGCAAGGTTTTCCTCCCAAGGCCATACCTGAGCATGGACCTGGGTATTTAGAGCTTTCTGAACAAGATAAGGGGAGGCTTGCAAGGTTGCACAACAATCTGGGACATCCATCGCCAGAGCTCTTTGCAAAATTGCTGGCGGACCGGAAGGCAGAACCACAGATGATACGGGCAGCACGTGATTATTCATGTAGTGTGTGTCAGGAAACGACTCCCCTTCCCAAGCTGTCGCGACCTTCAGCTGTTCATTCCGATGGGGACTTCGGTGATGTTATCGGCATGGATGTAGCATATTGGACGAATAGTGCAGGTAAGACCTTTATGTTCACGCATGTCCTAGATGAAGCAACCTTGTTTGAACAAGCCGAAGCAACCGGACGGACCCAGCAGGAACAGTTTGAAGTTTTAGCCGATCATTGGTTTCAGTGGGCAGGTCCTTGCAAAACCCTGTATGTAGACCCAGCAGCAGGTGAGTATACTGGGGATCGTTGGCGCAACAGGCTTCAACAGGAGGGGATTCAGGCGCATGTGTCCGCAGGTGAGGCGCGCTGGCAGTTAGGCAGGGTAGAGGCCCATGGTAGGATGCTTCAATGCTTACTCGCAGGGACAGTCAAGAGCCCAAAAATCCTCGGATGCCGAATTCAGACGTTGCCTTCGTCAAGCGGTGCACGCGAAGAGCAGCCTTAGAAGAGTTAGAGGCTTCCTGCCTCATTAGTCGCTGATGAGCAGGCTTCTTCACATGCACTAGCTGAAAGCAGTTCTCCCGAGGGTGTGGCGTTCAGACGAGATCTCCAGAGACGGGAGCAAGCCAGGGTGGCATTCATGCAGGCAGATAATGACAGCTCGTGCCGGCGAGCTTTCCTTCGGAGATCCAGCCCGAACAGTCATTGTATTGAGGCTGGAGACTGGGTGCTGTACTGGAGGCGAAATAAGAGTGGTTCTAGAATGGTATGATCCTAGTCAGGTGATTTGCTCGGAACCCAAAGTAGTATGGCTGAGCCACTGACTGTGGCAGGCTCATACGTGCAGCGCCCGAACAGCTCAGATCAGCTTCCATGCGGGGAGTGGCAGGCTGAAAAGGGAGAAGGGCAGTCCACACTAGGACGGGACGTTGGGGGGGTTAAAGACTTGACGAACCAAGGTTTGCCTACTCGAAGTGAGGTTGAGGCTGAAGGTGATGTCCCGTCTTCGGTGGTACCAACCCAAAATGAGACACTTCCCGAGCCTCTTGCTGAAGACGCTGAAATGATGGAACCACCTCCTGCCCCGCCGCTCGTTGAGCAGCCGGACGGAGGTAGAGGTCTCGCCAGTGCTTTCGGCAAACCACTACTACTACTACTACTACTACTACTACTACTACTACTACAGCTACTACTACTACTACTACTACTACTACGACGACGACTACTACTACTACTACTACTACTACTACTACTACTACTACCAGTGCTACTATAGTGCTTCTACTACTAGTGCTACCACTGCTACTGCTACTGGTCTTTACAGCCCAAAAGAACAGAGTGAAAAGCAGGTTCCGGGGTTGGAGGGGTCAGAAAGGCAGGTTCCGGGGTCAAACGAACCCCCCGATGTCAAAAAGGCAGGTCCGGGGTTCAGAAAAAAGGGAGGCCGTTAGACAAGCAAGGTTGGGCGTCATAAAGAAAGGTTGCCCTTCCATGCACGCTGCTCAAGGTTCTAGCAGAGTGCGATCTACAGCTGCGCGCTTCCAGCACAAAAAGACTCCTGCGAACTTGTGTTCCTGTGCGCCTAGCGAGGGGAGACACGCCCAGGCTACATCTCAGGGGGGGTCAGGTGGCCCACTTTGCAGGGGACGGTCACTGGGGAGGGGATTAAGAGGTGGGGAATAGAAGGAATGCGTACAGGCTCCTTTCTGACCGCTTTGGCCGTTGCCGAGGCGAAAGCCAATGAAATTCTTTAACAAGAACCCAGGTTAGCTGGTCAAACCCCTGCCCGATCATGAAGCCGATAGGCGATAGCCCCATTGTCCGGTGACCTGGACGGGATACGATTCAACTAAACTGCATTGCTGTCATTGCTTCTTGACGGAGGAGAGGCCGCAAAGACAGGGCCGGGCGATGCTGCGGGCCCTAAACCAGCGGGATGCCAGGCGTGGAGCAAGGGAAAGAGGTTTCTCATCATAGCACACGAAGTTGAAGAACGCCCGAAGTTGACGCACTGCAGGAGACTCCAGGAGGGAGGGAGAGAGAGAGAGAGAGAGGGAGAGAGAGACGGGTGGTCGCACGGTTGCTGGGGGGAACATCTCGTACCGTATTCCGTAAGTAGCTCACTGCTACGTTTGGCTCTCTTTGTTACAAGTGCAACAGCAGCAACACAGGAGGATGTGGAGCATCCCCAGACACACGACAATGCGTAGCCATGCTGCAACGGTTCAATAACCAGCCTGTGTTAGCTGTAGTGCCAGCGATCGTACTCTTGTGTCCGGGACTTGCAGTTGCGCAGGCAGCATGGCAAAGCGAAAGATGTAACATCGACAACAGCCCAGCTCCACACGCACGGGAGGAACCAAAACATACTGTCGCTATGCAAGCTGTTTTACTTTGGTTCGTGTCGTGTTTTACCCACTGAAATTGATGCAGTCCTGTGTGAGCTTAGCAAAAGGATTGTCGAACCCTGATAACGTCATGTCAATTCAGGATTTTCTTCGATCGGGGGGAAACATCCTGTTCTCACATTCCCCCAATGGACGGGCCGAGTAACGAAAGAGAGACAGAAAGAGGCCTCTCGAAGGCCCCCTCAACCAAGTGCCCGCATGCGCGCGGGGGTGGCTGTCACTACTTCCTTTGGCTGTGTGGAAGAAGAGAGGCCTCTTCAAACAGCACAGTATCGGAGGGCAGCCTAGCTTGTTGATATCTTGTTGATTGTTTGGCTCTCGTTTAACCCCCGATCAAGCAACATGACAGGAACAGGGAGTGAGCCTTCGTCTTTGGGGGCTTTAGAGGCTCCGCATGCGGAGTGTTTTGCAAGCGCCAGGACTGCCGAGGCTGCACTGGAGGTCGATTGGGCGGAAGGCGGCCGATTGTTGTGGATACGGCGGTGTTTGAGGCTGGGGCGGACCCCTCCGTGGCCGAAGGCTGCGAGCTCAGCCTTTCTGCGCAGTTTCGCTGGCGCAGCCGAAGCTCGAGGCGGCGAGCAAGCACTCCACCTCTTGACAAAGTGGCGGCAGGAGCCGGTCGTGCGGTTGGAGGTCCGGCGTGCTGCGTGCACTGCCAGTGGTAAAAGTGTTCGTGTAGGCATCGGTCAGGTTCAGAAGCTGGCTAGGAAGCTGGTGCAGGCCCAGTGTTGGCACCACCCTCCCAACTGCAGAAGCTCTCCCTCGCCCCCCTAGGCACGCGCTGACGTCAACGCTGGCAACTCTCGCGCTGAGACACCGCTGCTCTTCGCTGCGCACCGTGGTGATTCTTCCCTGATCCAGGCGCTGCGAAGCCTGGTTCGACTTGTCACGATCCCGCTCTCTCGCTCTCTCGCTCTCTCGCTCTCTCGCTCTCTCTCTCTCTCTCTCTGACTTTGCTTTTGGTTCCAGTCTCAGTCTCAGTTGCTCTTGGAGCTGCGAGCCGACCCCGCGGCAGCCAACGAGGAAGGCCCCTCGCAGATCTGAGGAGAATTTTGCTGTGTCCTGTGTCGGTGTCTCTAGGCAGCACGGCCTTGATGTTTGCAGCGCACGGTGGGCACGAAGAAGTCTGCAAGATGCTCTTGGAGGCACCGAAGCTTCAAGGTCTCGGTCCAAGCTGTAGAATCTTTACTCTCGGTCCGAGTTCCAAGCCTCCCGTCTTTTCGAAGCCTCCTGAAATGCTCTGGAGCAGAAGCTCCGAATCATTTCGTTTGGCCTGTGATGCCTTGGGGTGCAACTAGGCTGTGGCTCCTTGCCAGCCTTAGAACCTTCGCGCCAGGCCTACGCAAGCCCCGGCGCACGGAACAGCCATGGGCTCACTGCCGAAGAGATGGCCACAAAGCGTGGCTTCCGGAAGCTCGGGGTATCTTGTCAGCGAGCTGCAGAGTCCTCTCAGGCCTCTGAGCCCTATGCCACAGCTTCCCGCTTCTTTGCCACGAGGCATTGCTTGCTGCGCACGTCCTGGCACCGGCGACTCCGCGAAGCCCGCGAAGCACGAGGAGACTCGGAAGAGATCCCGGATCGTGGGGGAATTGCCGTGCCGGTATCGCCAGGATGTCGATTGCAGGAGGGGCTGGAGGGGTGGATGTGGTGGAAGCCTCCGCAGCCTCCTTGGTGCCGGAGGCAGTGGAGGGCGGTTGAACGCGCACGGCACGGCCTGATGCCGCCCTGCCGCTCAGGTGCGGAGCTCGGCTTTGAGGCCGGGCTCGACCGCGGTTTCGCCCTTGGAACTTCGTGTGCGAAGATGTCTCTTATCTTGTCTCCTCTTCTTTACACTCCGAGGCTCAGGGTCCGGCCTTCCAGACATCGGCTCGCGGGGACCGCGGGGACCGGGGAGGGCCATCCTTGGGGGCCAAGCTCCTTCAGCAGAGCGCTTTGCAGGTGCGGAGCTTCGACCACAGCAGGCTCGGCGGGCTCGGCGAAGCGGAAGCCCTCAGCCGGCAGCCTCAGAGGCCGTGAAGGGCGCCTTTGTCTCAGGTGGGATCGCATCGTGGAGGACCTGGAGCGCCGCGGGGAGGCGGCCGAACGCTTCGGAAGTTTCCGAGCCAGGGCGGCCAGGGCATCTTGGAGGTGTCGCATGGTCCGCTAAGACATCGTCACTTTGAGAGGTGGAAGATCGACGAGAAGTATTGGCGAAGCAGCCAGAGTACGTCTGGAAGAACGGCGGGCCGCTCATAGAACGAGCTGTAATCGCCGTGCATGGCTGTGGCGTGAGCGTGTGCGTTGCTGTCGCGCACTCTGGCTTTGGAAGGTGTCAAGATGCGGGTGATGCTTTGAGCTCAAAACAAAGCCGGGCGCAGAGATGTCGCGACGTGGTTCCAGAATAGCCCCATGCAGTAGCAAGACAGGGTTGACGAATTAAGTTGGCAGGACTCTCGCCCATTTAGTACCACCAGCCTGCCAATTGGCAGCATCCCCATCTTTTCCCCAAACACCCAGAGCATGAATTTGCAAGCATCTAACTTTCAGAGGGTTTCTGGTAGTATGAAAATGACCTTAACAACTTCACCGCCCCGGTTCCGCTGGTAACAACCTGGAAAACCAAGAGGCACAGCGAAAGAAGGGTGTCAAAACGCAGAGATCAGGATCATGCACAGTTCACATAGATCATTCAAGGACCCCCAAATACAGAAAGCCCACTCTTTGGCGGGTGAGGATTGTTGCTGAATAGGTTGAGGTGACACATCTTGCAGCCAGGACCCCGCTGCCATCTAGGCTCGGAGAGCGTCTCTCAGTGGGTGCCGTTCGTCGCGAGAAGCAGGCGGCTTCGGCTATACCGATGGGCAGAGCGTGATTATGTTGGCAGTCTCAGGTCATGGCTGAGCTTGATGATGAGGAGGTCGTGGCTCCCGAAGCCGAGCCGGAGGAAGAGGTGGGGACAGAATGTCCCTGGCCTGCAGAGGTCTAGGCACGTGCATAGGTGACGGACCTCATGGGAGCCGTTCGCGGCGTACTCAAGAAGTCCCTGATGGTGGACGGTGCAATCCGAGGCCTCCATGAGGCGCTGGGCTTGCGCGGTCCTTGCGTGTCTCCTGAAATCTGTGCAGAGCCGCAGAGCTTTAAAGGTTGCCAAGCACATCGAGGCGTGCAAGGCCCAGGTGGTGTTCCTTTCCGAGTCTTGCAACGAAGCCACCTACAAGAAGCTGATCCAGGCAAGTCAGCAGGACCAAAGCAAGATGCTTGTCAGCTTGCGATGCACTGCAAGGGCTTGTGCGTGGAGAAGAACGTGCCCGTGATAGATGTGCCTGACAACAAGAGCCTCGGCGAGTGGGCAGGTCGACATTGGAGTGTTGCTTGACCTCCTGAATTTTTGCATTGCAAAGCCGTCGTTTGCCAGGCCTCTGCAAGATCGACAAGGATGGCATGCCCAGGAAGGCATGAAACACGCAGCTTGCTTAGCTGTTTGCATGTTGACCCAAACCTGCGGCGAGGTGGTCGGCGCCAGCTGCGTTGCAATTATCGACTTCGGCGAGGAGGGCGAGGAGCAGAGCCTTGTTGCCGCGGTACCCTTCTTTGCCATAGTTCCCATAGTTCCATGACGCAGGCGTACAACTTCATGATGAAGCACCTGGGAAAGTGAGTGGCAGAGCTACCCAGATCTCAACCAGAGACGCGCCTGAAAAAGGATTACTCGGTCACTTCCGGCATTAAAGCTGCAAGAGTTGCGTTGTTTCCTCGTCGCACTTATGCCGCACACCGATGGAGGCCATCAGTTGTCGCTGCCATCTAGGCTCGGAGAGCGTCTCTCAGTGGGTGCCGTTCGTCGCGAGAAGCAGGCGGCTTCGGCTATACCGATGGGCAGAGCGTGATTATGTTGGCAGTCTCAGGTCATGGCTGAGCTTGATGATGAGGAGGTCGTGGCTCCCGAAGCCGAGCCGGAGGAAGAGGTGGGGACAGAATGTCCCTGGCCTGCAGAGGTCTAGGCACGTGCATAGGTGACGGACCTCATGGGAGCCGTTCGCGGCGTACTCAAGAAGTCCCTGATGGTGGACGGTGCAATCCGAGGCCTCCATGAGGCGCTGGGCTTGCGCGGTCCTTGCGTGTCTCCTGAAATCTGTGCAGAGCCGCAGAGCTTTAAAGGTTGCCAAGCACATCGAGGCGTGCAAGGCCCAGGTGGTGTTCCTTTCCGAGTCTTGCAACGAAGCCACCTACAAGAAGCTGATCCAGGCAAGTCAGCAGGACCAAAGCAAGATGCTTGTCAGCTTGCGATGCACTGCAAGGGCTTGTGCGTGGAGAAGAACGTGCCCGTGATAGATGTGCCTGACAACAAGAGCCTCGGCGAGTGGGCAGGTCGACATTGGAGTGTTGCTTGACCTGAATTTTTGCATTACAAAGCCGTCGTTTGCCAGGCCTCTGCAAGATCGACAAGGATGGCATGCCCAGGAAGGCATGAAACACGCAGCTTGCTTAGCTGTTTGCATGTTGACCCAAACCTGCGGCGAGGTGGTCGGCGCCAGCTGCGTTGCAATTATCGACTTCGGCGAGGAGGGCGAGGAGCAGAGCCTTGTTGCCGCGGTACCCTTCTTTGCCATAGTTCCCATAGTTCCATGACGCAGGCGTACAACTTCATGATGAAGCACCTGGGAAAGTGAGCGGCAGAGCCACCCAGATCTCAGAGACGCGCTTGAAAAAGGATCTGTTTTGTCTGGTGTGGCTAGAGGGAGGATTTCCGGGCTCCGGGCAATGGCCGATCTGTCCCTGCAGATTTGAGCAAGTATACGAATCTTAGCGAAATGAGACTACCGGGCAGTGATGCAAAAGGCGGCACCAAAAACAACTTGCTGAACCCAAGTAGCAAAAATCTTGGAGCAGTTGTGACGCTCGGGGGATGCGGGGCCCCGGCCCGAAGCCCAGCGGCCGGAGCCTCAGAGCCTCAACAGAAGCCGGTGCAGGGCAGAGGGCCGTCTGCTTGGAACAGGGCCGCGTTTCTGTCACATGGCCTAAAACGCAGAGCCTTGCCGGCAGCTTACAGCGCACCATTGAAGCACTGAGCCACTGCAAGTTTTTTCAGGCTTTTTTCCCGCCATGAAGGGTGTCAAGGTGGGAAGTGGGAAGAAACCGGCGGGGGTTCCTTTGAGGTGCGTGTGCTGCAGGCGGCAGTGCGAGGGGCGCAGGAGACCCTGGGCTTTGACTCGCCGAGCCACATGAAGGGCCTCCAGGCCCGGGACCTGGGCGCAGCCGCGCACAGCACAGCAGTGATGGCAGGTCTTCATTGCAGACATCCGCAACTGCCAGACCAAAGAGCAAGAGCGGACACGAGTGGACAAGGACTGGGGACGCGGCCCCACGGTTCAGTCGGCGCTCTTTCCGGACCTTGGCAGGAGCTCTCGAAAATCCGGCAGAAGTTTGCGAATCCGAAGACCTTGTCTGGCTACGATCGGAAGAAGTGCGCCAACGCCCAGTCGGATGCCCCCGAGTCGGCCAGTCGTGGCCGATCCGAAGGTATGTGTGGAAACTGCTTTATGCGTATATGCTCGGCTACGAGATCGACGACACCGGGCACTTTCAGGTGGACTCCGAAGAGCAAAGTTCGCAGCGGCCAGCGGCCAGCAACCGCGGCGTGCGCGCAGGCCGTGGAGTTGTGCTCCTCCCCGAAGTTCAGCGAGAAGACGGCAGGGCCAGAAACTCGGAGAGCCAGCGGAAAGGGCACCTCGCCAAGGCGGCACGCCGCCACCCAAGGTATCTCGCGACCTCGCTGCTGCTAGCGGACAACAACGACATGGTGCGGATGATCGTCAACAGCGTCAAGACTGACATCTCCTCGGGCAATGAGGCACCGACATGCCGATACTGTAAGGCCATCTCTCTCTCTCTCTCTCTGTCTTTCTCTCTCTCTCTCTCTCTTTCTCTTTCTCTTTCTCTCTCTCTCTCTCTCTCTCTCTGTCTCTGTCTCTGTTAAATGACACGAGCCCAATGTGCACCCGAATGTTCAAGATGCATTAGAGAATGCTACGATGCCGAATGGCATTGGCTCAAGACTGGATCAAGGCTTGACTGCACAAAGGAATGTCTGTCTGCATCTGTGTGACTGGGGAAAGAGATTGATCTTGGGTGTCCCGCTTGGACTGATTTGTACTGTTGAATTTTCATGGAAGCGGAGCTTCGGCTCTGGAATCAGGGATTGAGACAGAATGGACTTTGGAACCAGAGGGATTGGCGGAGAGATCAAACTGTTCCCGCCACCAGTGTATCATGGAGAGTTGGAGAAATGGGAAGATCGGTCGTGGCAGCTGAAGCGATATGTAGGATTGTACAAACCACTGGCAAAACTGCTAATGGACGATGTTCAAGGATCGAATATTGCCATCACTGACGATCTGTGTGTGAAGCGTTCAATGCCCAGTAGAATCGAACCCAGAATGAACAGCTCTCACTGTTCTCGAGACAACTGGCGTATATGATGGCGCAAATTACTGATGGCGCTGCGCGAACGATTGTGCGCAATGAAGATACAGAAAATTGATTTGAGATCTGGAGACGATTGCATAGTCAGTTTTCACTGCCGGAAAGAGCGCGTTCCACGAATCTCCTGAATGAGATTATTGGCTTCAGGTCGAGAAATGACCACTTGGAGAATGATCTGAGTGAGTTCATCATACTGAAGAACAGACATGAGAAGACGACTGACAGACCGCTTGACAATGACCTGCTTGTCACATTGCTAATGCAGAAGACTGTTGGTCCTTTGCAGCAGCATTTGAGGTTGAATGTCAGGAATATCAACACGTTCAATGAAGCACTGGAAATCATCTACAGTTACATTAAGAGCAGACACCTGACTGTCCCGAGTGGCAGGACTGACCATGGAGGTCAAGCCGATATGGATATAGGAGCATTGAAAGGAAAGAAAAGAATGAAAGGCAAAGGCTACAAAGGAGGAAAAGGAATGCACCAAAGGAAAGGAAAAGGATACAAGGGCAAAGGAATGTTCAAAGGATACAAAGGAAAAGGAAAGAGCAAAAGAAAGGGAAAAGGTAAAGGAAAAGGAATGAAAGGAAAAGGAAACGGACAAGGATGCTTTCTGTGTGGCGACACGAGTCACTGGAGTAGAGACTGCCCGAATGGAAAAGGAAAGATGTCAGCAGTAACGGAAGATGAGAACAGAATGGAGTGATGATTGGAATCAGTGGAGTCCTGATGATTGGTCGAATGATGACTCAGGACGCCGCCAAGAATGAAGCAGCACAGAATGTGTCAGCAGTGACTGTTGATTCGTCGGATCAGAACGCGCCCAGAGTTGCTAAGACTGTTCGGGGAACGAAACCTGGACTGATGACGAACTTCTTCGTTGGAGCGTGCTTGCTGATTGATGCATTGAGTTCCGGAGTGCCACCTATGCCGAACCAGAATGTGCCAAACTTGAAGAAGTTGCCTGAGAATGATCCGATTGGTTTCGACGACAGCTTGATTGAGTTTCACATGCAAGCTGGACTGGTCGACAAGTCTTGGATATTGTTCGAAAGTGGAGCTTGTGCGAATTGTTGTCCAGAATGGTTCGCGCCGGATTACCCGACGCTTCCGTTGAATGAGAGTGCACCCTCACTGCGAAGCTTGACTGGAACGACACTGGATGTGCAATGCAGGAAGATTGTGCAACTTGACTGTGGTAATGGTCACTCGTTGAGTGTGCAATTTTATGTGTGCACTGGCATACCGTTTCCACTGGTTAGTGTTGCTCGACTGTTGTTGCAAGATTTCTGGACTGTAATGGCGAAAGACTACATGGCGATGATTGACCCGACTGGCAATCCTGTGCCGATTGTGCGACAAGGGACACTGGTGTATTTGACACCGACTGTGATTCCCTACAGTGTTGCAAATGCGGCAAGACTGGCAGCAACGTGCCTGCCAGAGGTGATGTCGGGAATGGAGAAAGAGCTTGGTGCCTTGGAATTGCGTGGAGTGTCGGACGTGCATGATTGTTCGATTGATCACCTTTGTCAGATTGGTGCCTTGATTGCTTCCGCTCAAGGAATGAGATCCTCCGAAGGTGGAAGACAGGACACCTGGGAGGTGAATGAAACTGAGCTGAAGTTGATCCGTCATGTGAAAGTCTGGCGAAATGAAATGTTGGACCCTCGGATCAAACTGGCAAAACGAATGCCGGTACCTGTGCTTCGCCTCACTGGCGAAAGAGTGACGCACAAGGTGTACCGAGATGGTTCGACTGTCACTGTCAGAGATGCCAATTTCTTGACAATGACGAAGACCAGGCCGCGTGATGAAAAGGCTTGGTGAGGACGAGTGGAATTCGGACTGACGCACAAACCTCAGCGCAAGCATGCGCAAAAGAGTGCGCCGCGTCCTTATGATCCAATGGTTGGCAGAATGCCTCCGCCGGCGAATGCTGACCTTGTCGAGAGTCGATAATGCTCCGAAAGTCCGAGCCAAGACTGGCGAAGAGCCAGAAGAACTGGATCGCAAAGTGCGTGTGAGTCGGAATGTTGAGGAGCATGAGCTTGAGAATGCGTTGCGGTCACTGCCTCAACATGGTGAGAAAATGAAGGAGTTGTTGTTGCAACTGTTCATTCTCGAGGATCCTGAGACGGCAGCACAGAGGACTGCAGATAGATGGATCATCCTCCCTCGATATTGGATAAGAATGCATCATGAACTGCGTGATTGCTATTTCCATCCGGATGACGCGAAATCGCCCGTTGATGGACTGTTGAGTGATCACTTGTGGGGTGATAGGTACACAGTGTTCTTTGACTCGAGTGATCCCACAATGATCGATACTGGCCATCAAAACGAATGGGCAGACATAGACATAGAGCTGCCTGATGGATCAGTGAAGAAATGTGAGGATCCACGGAGCCCCATTGGACACAAGTGGACTGGATACATGTTGTTTGTTCCGTTAGATCGCCCTACTGCTGGTGAGAATGCCGAGCAGGAGACTGACGATCGGAGTGCATTGAAGCCGAAAATGCTGAAGGTTCCCGGAGAACCCTCAGAGAATGAACGGCGATTGCACGAATTGACTCATCTCCCTTATAGGGACTGGTGCGAACACTGTGTGAAGTCTAAAGGAAGACAGAGTCATGCAGTGAAGAAAATGGATGATCGGCAACCGGTGATTCAGATTGATTTCTCGTTTATGTCGACTGACAATGACCTTCCGAAGCGCACTGTTCTGAATGCTACGGATGTCCAGACTGGATATTCAATGGCCGTTGTACTGCTTTCGAAAGGAAGTGTCGAGAAATATGGAGTTGCCGAATTGAGGAAGTTTGTGTTTGAGATTGGTCGGACGTTTGGGATTGTCCAATATGACAAAGAAGCGCCACTGAAGACAACGGTGCGTGACCTCTGCAAGGTTGTTGCAGGAATGTCCATGAGGGCTGCCCCGACTGGGCACTCTCAGAGCCAAGGAAATGTTGGCAATGCTCAGCGGACGCTGTATGGCTAACTGCGAACACTGCTTTCCCAAGTGGAAGAATCCACTGGAGTGAAAGTGAGCTCCGAATCACCACTGTTCACAGGGATTGTGAAACATGCGCAATCGCTGATTAATCGGTACATGATTGGAGCTGACGGCAAGACTGCCTACAGCCGTCGATGGAATCGAGAAAAGATTGGCTCACTCACTGTGCATGTTTGGTGAAGTGATTGCCGCTAAGGTGCCTGTGAGTGGTAGAGTGCGTGTTCCCAAGGCTGGATCTCAATGGTTCAGCGGAGTGTACCTTGGTAAGGACACTGAGGCAGATGCAGTTGTTCTTGGGAATGCCAATGGTGTCTTCAAGGTTAGGACTGTGAAGAGAAGATCTCCTTCTCAACAATGGAATGCAGCGTATGTCATAAAAATGACTTCAACTCCTTGGAAACCTCGAGGAGATGGAGTGGAGTCGACTGCGTTTGTAATGCCACCTGATCTTGGAGTGAAGGCCGAGTGAGGCCTCCTCCTGGATTGGAGCGAGTTGAGGAAGAAGTTGAAGGAATGTTGATCTTGAAGACATGGTGCCTGTGCAGAGTGAAAGTGTCACTGAGCAGGATCTGTTGCTTCAAGGTGGCACTGATAGATCCCCGGCTGAAATGGATCATGAAGCACCTGAGGCGACTGGAGAATCGCTCAGGAAGAGCGCAAGGAAGCAAGCAGAGGCTAACCCCACACCTCACATCCTATACCCCCCCGTACGCTTTTACCTCAATTCTCAACCCGCCTCCCAAAACCCAACCTTCCAAAACACCAATACACAAAGCACCTCCCAACACAAAAGCAATAATCCCAAAACAAAGAAACCCACCAACAAATACAACAACCCATCACACAATCCAAAACCCAAAGCACCCAAACAAATCCTACCCTCAACCATAAAATAACCCATATCCTAATATGAGGTGTGGGGTAAGACACTAATAGAAAAAACCCCAAAGCTCATAACCCTGCACCTGGGAAATGACGACAACGGCGAGTTCGTCTATGAGACGGTGCGCCTGCCATGTTTGTGAAGCTTTGGCAATTCCTGTGATTTGAAGGCGACACCATTGCTTACACCGTGCAGTTCCGGCTGCAGCCCTTCAGGAGTTGTATTGGCCCTTTGATCGACGCAGTTGTTGTTCTCATTCATGTTAAGGCAGGAGCTGAAGCAGAACCCAAACCCCAAACCCTAAACCCTAAACACCTGCGCAATGGTGCGCCCAAACACACGTCGCTCAACAGCGCTGCTGGTGCTGGTCGCTCTGGCACATGTGGTGCACCATAGCTTCGTGGTTGCTCCCTTTCCGGCACTTCGGGTTCAGAGCTCCTTGCGCCCTTCTGGCATTGTCAAG